AAAAAAGAAAGAAAGAAAGTTGGACATGGTGGTACACATCTGTGGTCAAAGATATGTGGAAGGCTGAGGTGGCAGGGTGGCTTTAGCCCGGGAATTGGAGACAACCTGAGCAATTTAAAAAGACTGCCCCCTTTAAAAACCAAGTAACAACAACAACAAACCCAACCAAACAAACAAAAAAGCCCAAGTATATTCTTTAGGTTTTATAATTTTTCCATATCCAAATACATACAGTATGTTTCTCTTGTTTCCAACTTAAGATCAATTCATGTTTGAATCATTCTTCTAATGCAACACTCCCCTTTCTTTTATTGTGGTTCTCATATCAAGCTTTTCTGTGTTTGAAGAATTTGAATTTATTGGAAGACAAGTCAAGAAAAAACTTCGAGGGGCCTTTAATCCCAGCACTCAGGAGGCAGAGCCAGGCGGATCTTTGTGAGTTTGAGGCCAGCCTGGTCTACAGAGCAAGATCCAGGACAGGCACCAAAACTACACAGAGAAACCCTGTCTCAAAAAAGCCTCCCCCCCCAAAAAAAAACAACCCCCCAAAACAAACAAACAACTTCCATGGAAGAAAAGAAATTAGGAGATGATATCACTGTGCTACACTCGGTACCTGAGGGTGCTTGCTAGATAACATTGTAGAAAGTTAGTTCTTCCTAAAGAAGACAGAGACCCAAGATAATGTTCTACAGAACAGAGAGCACAGCAGAGGCTCAAAAGTCCACTATGGTCCTCTATTGTTATCCCAAACTCTCCTGTCGCCATATTCGTCCAGTGAGTGAGTAAACTAAATAGAAATGTTTCCTGAGAGAAAGGACAAGATCTGAACATCTACTGTCTAGTGGTAGGTAAGAAAGAATTTAGCAGCGTGGTGGTGTCAGAATTTGGGAGGCAGAGGCAGAGGCAGGAGGGACTCCATGAGTTCAAGGCCAGCCTGGTCTACAGATCCAGGACAGCCAATGCTACACAGACATGCAAACAAACAAACAAACAGAATTTAAAGGTATTTATTTAAGTACCGAGACTCTGTACTACACTAGAGACTTAAAAATTAAAGTACTGTAAATTTGTATTGGTGTTGTACAAGGTAATGAACAATGACTGCATATAGTTTTGCAATAGAAAATATAATGGGCAGTGTTTCCAGAATTGTTGATTGGGCAGAACAGAGTTTTGCTATAAATATTAAGAATGCATGTGTTACTTAAATACACTGTCCTTTAAATTTGGGGAAATCAAAAGTGCACCTAGTTTATTGTAATAATCCACAAAAAGACAGTAACTGAAATAATTATACTGGGAAATCTCTCCTGCCAGAAGCTTGGAAATATATGGGGGGGGGGTAAAAAATATATTCCAGAAGCTTGGAAATATATGGGGGGGGTAAAAAAATCTAAAAAGTGAAGTAATGGTGTATGGGAAAAGATGCTACGGAGGGGGAGAAGAATGTTGGATGAGAAATTATTAAGCCATTGGGAACTGGAAAGAAAAAAACGTAGACGAGAAGGAGCAAAGTGCTGTTCTATTTTGCAATCGCTTGATCCGAATGCAAGAGGAGCGTCAGATGAAATTACAGCGATGCCAACAGTGACTAAGGAGTCCAGCAATGGAGATCTTGGTGGGAGTGGTAAGGTAAGACCTGAGGTGTCACCCTGCCTTCTGCAACCGGCCTGGTCTGGGCTTCAGGGAGTGAGGGGTAAATGACTTCCCCAGAACAAGCCTCAGCCTCTATTCGACAGTGCTGAAGACAGGATTCTGCAAACACCGGGTGACACCCGACACCCCGGCACGGATGGCGGGCGCCCCCGCATTCCTCACCTGGGAACACCTGACTCCTCAGGAGGAGATGGAGTCAAACCTCCCTCGGACGCTGACAGGGCCCCGGCTCGGTGGCCGCCGCCAGCGGGGCCACCGGGTGTCCGGGCGGCTGCGTGGTCACGTGGTCCCCGCCCCCCTGCCCTCGGCCCCCCGGGGCCGTTGGGTCCCAGTCCACAGGCCCTTCCTTACCCATGTGCTGCGTGTCCAGCTGGACGGCCGGCATCTCCTTGAGGGGAATGTGGCCGGTCCCGCCGTCCCTGCAGCAGCGCAGGCAGCACCAGGCCGACGCGGCCATGGCGCAGCTACACCGACCCGCCGCTCCGCCCGTGCCCGAGTGTTTCTGGGTCGCGGGAGCTCCGCAGCCCGCACAGCTACGCCCCGGCGGGGAGGCGAAGCCGCGGCTGAGGAAAGGTTCCCGGTGGAGAAGCGAGGACTGCCTGGAGGGGCGGGGCGGGGCGGGGCGGGGCCGGAGGTGGGCGGGGCGGGGCCGGGAGGTGGGCGGGGCCAGCTGCCGACGGACTACCGGAGGGCGCGGCGGGCAGGCAGGGCGGTGTCCGCAGCTGAGTGGGGCCAAGTGGCCTGACTGACTGGGAGAGGGGGCGGGGCCAGTGGCCTGACTGACTGGGAGGGGGCGGGGCCCGTGGCTGACGGATGGGAGAGGGCGGGGGCGGCTGTGGTTCCGGAAGTGGGCGGGGCCAGTGGCCTGACGGACTTGGGGCAGGCGAGGCGGCGTGCGCCTGCGTGCTGCGATGTCATTCCCCCGCCTCGAGGCGGCCCCTGACACTAACAGGTGAGTGGCTGGGAGCCGCTCCGGTTCTCAGAGGCTGTGGTTCTGGTGTTGGTTTGTGTTTCTGAAGGGGTCTTGCTGTGCTGCCCAGGGTCTGGAAGTCCCGGCCTCCACAGTAGCTCCGTGCTGCTGACTCGTGGTTCCGTACTGCCCGTGTGTGTCTGCGTGTGTGTGTCGGCTCCGCCGCCCAGGGTGTGTGTGTGTAGTGTGTGTTTACGGGGCCGGGGGACTCCGCAGTGATTTTTTTTTTAGGGCGAGTTGACAGTAGCAGATCTGCTTTGGGGAAGGAGCTAATGAAACGTAAAACGCCGGAGAGTTTTCCCTGCGAGCCAGCGCCGGGGCTCTCGGCACCTTGCCACGTCCGGTGGACTGCTCTGTGGACGTGCGGGAGGGCTCCTCGGCGGCCCCGGAGCTCTTTCCGTGCAGGGGCGCTCGGCGCTGGGCTTGTTGCTGTGCAGACCCAGGAGCTGCAGGCGGCCACCCTGTGAAGGGACCACGGAAGGTCGGGCACGACTTTTTAAAAAGTCATTGCTGTGTGCACGTGCGCACGATGTGTGTGAGTTCGGGCGCTCTCCTGGCCACGGCGAGGTCAGAGGACAACTTTCTCGGGAACAGGTTTTCTTTTCCCACCTTGGGGATCGAATTCAGGCCTTCAGGCTTGCTTTAGAAGCAGAGCCATCTGGCCGGCTCCTGAGAGGCCACGTCCATGCTCCCTAGTGCCCTGGGGTTGCTTACTAGAAGTGTGAAAGGAATCTAGGGAGACACTATGAAGGGAAACTCGGGGTTCTTCCTGATACCACAGAGAAGGCCCCACTGGTGGCCACTTGGCATCTCCCTCATCACTGAGATCATCCGTCAGACACCATCTGGTGTCCAACAGAACCTGGCTCAGACTTCTCTTCCTAGATAAACGTTTCAACCTTGAACGTTTTCCTGGGGTTCATCAAATCCTGGGAAACTGAATATTAATTCCTTATTTATTTATTTATTTATTTTATTTATTTATTGGTTTTTCAAGACAGGGTTTCTCTGTGTAACGGCTCTGGCTGTCTTTGGAACTTACCTTGTAGACCAAGCTGGCCTCAAATTCACAGAGATCCGCCTCCCCCTGCTTCCAGAGTGCTGGGATTAAAGGCCTGCACCACCACCACTAGGCAAATTCCCAATTCATAAGTAATGGTTTCCCATACATAACTTTTTAGTCACCTGAGTATAAATATCCTTTATGGAGATTTTTATCCATAGAATGAGGGAAATTTTCAGGCTTTGGTCTGTTTTCTATTATAAAAAATATTTTCATTATAATACTAAGGAAAATAAACAAAGCTTATACTTTGAGATTTAGTTACTACAGAATTAATATCCAGAGTAATTTCTAAAATGATTGAGGGCTGCTCCTGCCCTTCACTGCCGATGTACCTTTGAAATACTCTGTTGGTAATCATTTTCTACACACACACACACACACACACACACACACACACACACACACACGACAGAATCCTTGCATATTTCAAGGCAGATACTTTCCCCACTTTATAGGCGAAGAAATAGACTTAGATTAAATGACTGTGCAATTTCACAAGGGTAGAAAATATACAAAGCAGGATTCAAAACCCAGGGTTCTTCTGACTCCAAGCCTGTATTTACTTCACCAGATCTTTGCCTCTGGAATTCTGAAGTTCAAACTTAGAATTCAAGCTACAACCCTCTGAAAATGATCAGTTTAAAATGCAGGTGTGTACCTCATGTTCTGTGTGTTTTGTTAGTCTCCACTTTAGCTAGTCTGCTATAATTTATGTGTAAAGAATAAAATTGTTTTATAAACTACACCTGTTGCTTAGAAGTGTTATTAAAAGTTGTACATGTATTAGATATGTAATAATCTGTCACATCTTCAAATGAAGACTGTTAAATGGCTGTGAATAGGCCACTAATGTAGAGAGGCAGAAATCCTGGTTGGAAAAGAAATCTATCAGGGTGCTGCCCAACATACTTTGCCCTTATTACCGAAACTCAGGTGTACTCAGCAGAATGAAGCAAGCAAAACCGGTTAGCTCCTGGAGCAGACTTTCCAGTCTTGGCAGATGAATGAATGTGAGCTCATAGAATTTCTTATATTTGGCTTCTATTCTGTTTATTACTTTCAAAGGTGTTACCAGTTCTTTTTGTATTTTGACAGTCTTCACCATCATTTTAAATAACAATCACAAAGAGAACCTACAAACGTTTTCAGCAGTTAGAAAGTTGTTGACCTAAGTCAAAAGCAGTAATGAAGAATGATAACCAGGCAAAAAATTCCGTCTGCCTCCCTGATGTGTGCTCCAAACAGGTGAACTGACAGGATAATAATGTACAGCATGTGGCTGACGGTCAACTGTAAACATGCTGGGGATTTCCTCTGATGGTTTTTGTGGAAGGCAGACATCTGTTGAGTTTCACACTCTGTCCTGGGTCATGAAAACAAAACGTTTTCATCATTTATCAGTTTTTAACTTTGTGGACTCAACCATGTTTTAGATTCTTAAAAATTATAAATAGTAACAAACAAACCCCTACTTCTGTACACTAGCATGTTTCTGGTGGCTGTGACCCAGTCACAGTTATGTTTTGAAGTAAGGTTAGCTGGACCTTTATCTAGTGCTTCTGAAGGTCAGGCTCTGATCAAAGTGCTTTTTGTAAACTGACAGCCCCCTGTGGGGGAAAAGTCGTTCTTTATTTTACAGACGGGCAGTCTGAGAAGCACACCCACAGCCCCGTTCTCCAAGAGATGGCACTGCATTCAAACCATGCAGTTTGGCTTTTCCGGTTTATCCCTAGGCACTTTATAAACCGTCTCCCTAGGGTACTATGTTTAAAGATACATTCATTCTATCACTGGGCAGTGGTGGCACATGCTTTTAATCCCAGCATTTGGGAGGCAGAGGCAGTTGAATCTCTAAGTTCAAAGCCAGCCTAGTCTACAGAGTAAGTTCTAGGACAGGCAGGACAACACAGAGAAACTTGGGCGGGCGGGGGGATGGGTGGGGGGAGAATGCATTCTACCATTGTTTGAATATGAAATGTAACCCACAGTCTTATATGTTTGAACACTAACCCTCCCCAGTTGGGTGCTCCATTTTAGGAGTTTGTAGAGCCTTTGAGACTGACCTAGCTAGCAGAAGTGGGCTCCTGTGGGCGGCATTTGAAGGTTCCAGCTAGAGCTGTCCTTTTCCTCGTCTGTATCCTCAGACTCCTGCCACCACAGATGGAGCTGCCCAGGCCTGTACCCTCCTGTACCATTAGCAAAGTAAATCCTTTCTTCCTGAGTTGTACCTGTCTGGGGACCTTGTCACAACAACACAAGAGGTGGCTAGTATGACAGTTATTTTTATTCCCTTCAAGTCTTTACCCCAAATGTTGACATTTCAATTTATCTGGTGTTAATTATACTCATTTAATTCAAATTTACTGAATTATAAAGTGATACACACACACACACACACACATCACAACCAAAAATATAAATTTGATTTTTGTTTGTGAGCCTAGCCTTTAATGGCTGAGCCAGCTCTCCAGTCCCCAAATAGACATTTTTTTTTTTTTTTTTGGTTTTTCAAGACAGGGTTTCTCTGTGTAGCTTTGCGCCTTTCCTGGGACTCACTTGGTAGTCCAGGCTGGCCTCGAACTCACAGAGATCCGCCTGCCTCTGCCTCCCGAGTGCTGGGATTAAAGGCGTGCGCCACCACTGCCCAGCCTCCAAATAGACATTTTAAATTGAAAATTTTTGTACTGCAGTGAATTACTGTCATTAATTGGCTTGAAAGTGCTCTATTAGCAGCACCATTGAACATTACTCATTTCTCACAGGATGTCTTCAAAGGTTACTTAGTATTTTTAATTGCTAAAACCATTAAGCAAGATTAGTGACTTGGAAAATTCAAAGACTGATCACTAGGAATAAAAAAAAAGACTGGGTAAAATAAAGGAATTTGGAAAAAGGTACTGAAAAATTAAAGGGTATTACAAAATGTTTTTAGTATAAAAAATAAGAAAGTAATAGCAAAGTCTCTCTAAGGAAGGCCCTTAGAATCTTTTTTAATAATATTATTTACTCAAAACTTTAAACCATCTTCCCTCCAGTGGAAGATAAAGCAGCCTGTTGCAAATCAAAAGGAGCTGTGGTATTCCTGCCCAGCCACTAGTCCCTTTATTCTGAATCGGCTACCTCTTAATCTCTTCCTTACCAGTTTAGATCTGAGCACTGCTGCTGGAACAAGTTTCAGGAACAGGCTCTTGAGGAGACAGAAGGGAAGTGTGCTGGCTTTTCTTGGTTGTCAACTTGACTACAGCTAGAATGAACTACAGTCCAGATAGAGGGCATTCCTGTAAGAGAGTTTTTGCTTGGTTTGAAGTGGGTGAATCCACTTCTAGTCCAGACCTTTGAGGTGGAAGACTCATGTCTTTAATCTGGATCTTGAGGTTGGAAGACACGACTTTAATGTGGGCCAGACCTTCTCCTGATATACGGGAGAGAAGAAGGCAGCTTCTGCCCTTCTCTTCCTAAGCACATCCATTCCATTGGAGCCAACTTCTTCAGGATTCCAGTATATACCGAAGACCAGCTGAGATATCCAGTGGACTAAGAAACTACTGGATTATCAGACTTTCTGTTCACAGCCATTGTTG